ATTTGGAAAAGTGAATAAAATATAAAGGTGCAGCTTAGTTATTATAAAGTGAAGGTCTGTGTAGTCATCACCCAGGTCAAGAAATAGAACATGACTGCTAAACAGTCATAGCGCCCGCATCAATTTCAATCCACTCCTTCCCCCCGGAGAAAGCACATGACTGACTTTTATGATAATACTTCCTTGCTTTCTTTTAATACTTCACCACTTAATTATTCATTCGTAAACACTCTTGGTTAGTTTTGCTGGTTTTAAACTTTTTATAAACAGAATCATACCGTATGTATTTTTCTTTTTTTCTTCTTTGTGGCATTTATAAGATTTATTCATGTTGTTGTAGGTAGCTGTTGTTCGTTCATTTTCATTGGGGTAGAATATTCTAGCAAATGGAAATACCATGATACTTCATTCGTTCTATTTTTGTGTCATTGATCTTTTATAATTCGCTTTTTTCAGGGTCTATTAATCTGCAACGCTATGTTCTTTTTGCAGTTCAATCTTGTTCCATTGCTGATTAAGAGCAACTCTCCCCACTAACACCTCTTGTCATCTTTCCAATTGCCTAAAGTAGGCCCAAAAGTATAAATTGCAAATCTAAGAAGCAACATCACCAAGGATCTACAAGAGAAAAGGGAGTTATTCTTAGTATTCTTAATAGCAATGTCGAAAAAGAACCATTCTGAATCAGGTCCTCTACCACAGAAGTCACATGCAATTATACCAAAGCAATTTTATCAGCACTGAGTGGAGGTTGCAAATTCAACCACTTCGTCTCAGTCCCACCCATACCAAATCAAGGCACATGGGGTAAAATAAGATCACAACTGAATGGTACCTTGGAGGCTTTTAGTTCTTGGCTCCCACAAGGTCCTGGAGGCCCTGAACACTTGCAAAAGGTACAGCAGCATGTCCTCTCTGCAATGTTCCCCTGGACAAAATGCAAACTTGAGTGAGCAACAGTTGTCAGGAACTTCATCACATAAGAACTATATTCAAAATCACAAATCACCTCCAAGCCCATCTTCTCCCTTGGGGAGAGAAGCTGCAGAGAATAAAGGGAATTAATGCTGCAAAGAGGGCACAAGCCAGGCAACAGTGCTGGAGAAATCCCTTCTCCAAACGAAACTATCTCTATTTATAGAGAGGGAGCCCTCCACGTAGACAGCTACAGGCCAAGTTTGTGGAAGACGACTTGGTTTCTAGTGGACAAACTCCTGTTTCCTGAGATTTTTGCAACACAAACTACTGGAGGATTTTTTACTTGATTAGGGGTTGGTTGGTTTTTTTTTTTTTTTTTTAGTTCCCTTATGCATTCATTTAGTGAGAAGACCAAGAATGAAAGGACATATACAATCAAAAATATGATGCTCTGGGCTTTCACACTTTTTCATATACTAAAGATCTTGTATTTCATTTAGTGGAGCAAACAAGGCAGTTTTTGGAAATACTCTTAAAGCCGCCAGTTGTATTCCCACGGCATTTTGAATAACTGGATTTTTCACTCAACTACTCACCAGGTACTGTGAGAGCATTTTGCCCAGCTCTTTCATCCCAATGGTCAGGTGAGTCCGGTAATCAAATCTTTTTCCAAATTCAAAGCTGGAAAACTCATCATAAGCAGTTCCATTTAGAGAGACCACCAGCAGAGCATCAAGTCCTAATGAGTAAAAACAACAGACATGAAGCCAAAGAGGCTTACATGAGAAAAAAGAAGAGCCC